CATCTTGTTGATTCCAATTTTAACAAAAAAGCAATACTCGGCAATAGCAGCTGTGTCTTCATTCTGAGAATCATTGTTCCACACATGAAAGTGTTACTATGTTACTATGAAGCAGGGAGGGAACACCAAGCATTTTGTGTCTCTTTATAATGAATGAAGCCACGCCAAAGATTTGAATCAGTCACTTCGCTTCAGGTGTTTCATTGTGACGTATGAAGCTTCACACGTCATTGGTCACGTACTGTAATCACGGAGATTTGATACAAGCCTCGATACAGTCTTTCGAACCAGGCTTCGGAGCCTCAGTGTCCAACGTCCCATCTCTATTGAATGCTTTACTCCCAACAACCAAACCCGTAACGTTAATAGCATTTAATTGCAATTGTAATGCAACTTTAAATAGAAATGACATTAAATTATATTTTAGTTTATCATAAATGCTTGTCGGTACATTCAGCAGTACTTTAACCATATGTGACCCTGAAGCACAAAAGCAGTGTTAAGTCGCTGGGGTATATTTGTAGCAATAGCCACAAATACATTGTATGGGTCAAAATTATCGATTTTTCTTTTATGCCAAAAATCATTAGGATATTAAGTAAAGATCATGTTCCATTAAGATATTTTGTAAATTTCCTACCGTAAATATATCAAAACTTAATTTTTGATTAGTAATATGCATTGCTAAGAACTTCATTTGGACAACTTTAAAGGTGATTTTCTCAGTATTTAGATTTTTTTGCACCCTCAGATTCCAGATTTTCAAATAGTTGTATCGCAACCAAATATTGTCCAATCCTATCAAAACCATACATCAATGGAAAGCTTATTTATTCAGGTTTCAGATGATGTATAACTTTCAATTTCGAAATATTGACCCTTATGACTGGTTTTGTGGTCCAGGGTCACATATTAAAAAAAATAAAAAAATTCTGAAATTACATATAAAGATGTACTTATGTCCTACTTAAGTGGGTTAAGAACACTCCGAAGTTCAGTTTGTTTGTTTGATGTCATGGAGTCTTTTAAATTCTCGACACAGCTGAGAAATAATCTTCCACTGGCAGTGTGTTATTGATGTTGAGCTCAATGGTGATTTGAGGCCATATTTTTCTGATTGTTTAGTGCTAATATCTCCGCAGGTTGGAGAGACTATAGGAATCACAGAGGAGATCATGGGACTGACGATTCTAGCGGCGGGAACCTCCATCCCTGATCTGATCACCAGTGTCATTGTGGCCCGGAGGGGTCTGGGAGACATGGCAGTGTCCAGCTCCGTGGGCTCCAACATATTCGACATTACTGTGGGGTACGCTTTGTGTTTCTATTTAAGAAATGTATACTTTTTTTCAGCATGCATGCATTAAATTGATCAAAGGTGACAGTAAAGATGTTTATAATGTTGCAAATTCAATTAAATGCTGTTGTTTTGGAATTTCTATTCATCTGTGAATCCTGAAAAATAAAATATATCATGCTTTCCACAAAAATATTGTGCAGCACAACTGTTTTCAACATTGATAATAATCAGAAATGTTTCTTGAGCAGCAAATCAGCATATTAGAATGATTTCTGAAGATCATGTGACACTTTAGACTGGAGTAATGATGCTGAAAATACAGCTGCGCATCACAGAAATAAATTTCATTTTACAATATATTGACTTAGTAATCAGCTATTTTAAATTGTAATAATATTTCAAATTTTTACAGTTTTTACTGTATTTTTAATTAAATAAATGTTAATTTAGTGAGCATATAAACAGAGTGCACTCTGTAATGTCAAATTAAAACTTTTACTTTAACATACATTTTAAATCATTGTTTTAATAAGCTTTTATTGTGTTTTAATGAAGTACACTTATTTTGATGTATTGACTAACATACTAAAGCACTTGTGAAGTTCCTGATTATCTGTAAACTGTAGCGTTTTATTCATTTTCTTTACATTTTAAAGTTAATATATTTTATAGTTTAATATATTTTAAGGTATTAAATTGTGTAACTTTGCATCATTACAAATATGTTTAAGTATATGACAAACATTTCAATAGAAATTACATCGAAGTATGTTTTAGTTTATCATAAATGCTTGTGAGTACATTTAACAGTGCTTTAACCATATTTCAAAGACAACAGAAGTAATTATGAAATCACATATAAAGATGTACTTAAGTCCTACTTAAGTGGGTCAAAACACTAAAGTTCAGCTAATTGCATTCAATAGCAATTTAAAACTATTTTAATTAAATTGCAATGAACATGCATGCAGTTGTCTGAAAACGATACATTCATTTTGCACGCAAGTATATATTTTTGAAAGTATGCTATTTTCGTATTTCATTGTGCTGTGTTATGCATTAAGCAGTTCACTCGGGTTTGTATCAGAGCTTGAGTTTTGACCATTTGTAATGTCCAGAGTTTCTTTGTTTCCCAGGTTACCGCTCCCATGGCTGCTGTACTCCATTATAAACAGTATGAGCCCGGTTCAGGTGAGTAGCAACGGTCTGTTCTGCGCCATCGTGCTGCTCTTCATCATGCTCCTCTTCGTCATCATCTCCATCGCCGCCTGTAAGTGGAAGATGAGCAAACTGCTGGGCTTCATCATGTTCCTGCTCTATATGGTCTTCCTGGTGGTCAGCGTCCTGTTGGAGGACAAGGTCATCGTCTGCCCCATCTCTGTCTGACATCTCATTTACACACGCATGAAGCTAAACCACGTTCCTGCTGACTTTAACTTACCTCCATAGTCATGAGTTCCCAGCCTCCTTCGCACTTCATCTAAAACCCTGTGTGTTTATGGGGTTTTACACACTTAAAACATGCTTTAATATTAATATGTGTCTTGCTTTCCAGTAAAATATCTAAACATCCTTAAAGAACATCACTGAACTGTGTACTTAAGAAGCAAAACTCGTTTTCCGAGAAAATATCTTTACTTAAGTTTTTTTTTTTTTTTTTGTCTAATTTTAAGCTTTTCTTAAAACAAAAATTATTTGGCCATAACTAATTATATATGAAGATATATTCTAAAAAAAAGATGTTCTTAGCATTTTTTTGTTTGTTTTCCAGTGCAAATATCTGAGCATTCTTAAATTTACTGAGAGTGGAAATTTCTTAAGAGAATTATGTGAGATATTAAGTCTTGTTTTCTTGAATGAATACATTTATGTTTGAATGCCAGTGTTATGTTAGTATCTTTGAGAAATTAGTAAGTATAGTTTTTATTCACATTTTGAATCCGTTTTTATTTGTATATTTTTCATTTTACTTAAAGTTTGAGTATTTTTTTTATTAATCTTTATTTTAGTTCGAGTTATTTTAGTACATCAAGTTAAACTAAATTAAAATTAGAAATGTTGCCTTGCCAACTAGCCAAAATAAAAAGCTTGTATATTTTATTTAACCTTTGTTTTATGTCAAGTAACGGAAATGTGTTATGGTTTTAGTTTGTGTTTCAGTTTTAGTTAACTATAATAACCCTGGTTTATGTTTAAAGCAATAAGTGGGGAAAGAAAAATAATCTTGTTGTCCCTTTGATTTATTATTTATTTTTATTAATTTATTTTTATTTGGCTACTGATTCCATGTTTCCTTTACGTTTTTTTTTTTAAGAACTTTTTTTCTTCTTCTAGAAGACAAGTATTAATTTAATAATAATGTAAACTTTTTTTTTGTTTGTGCTCCACTCATTGAAGTGCAATTGATCATATGAGATGATGTTAAACTAGAGCTGGAACGGTGCACCTTGTACAGAATCCTTTGAACTGGTTGAGATGCATCAACACAGTGTTAAAACCTTTATACAGATTTTTTTTTTTTCCTTATTTATTTCCACACAACATGCACCGCAGTTGTGGGCGAAGCGGATGGAGCTCTGCGATCAGAATGATCTCTGATTATTTGTTGGTTGTTTCAATCACTCTGTAGAGAGCGCTGAGGATTTCTGCGCAGACAGACGCTGTGATTACAGCAGGCAGCGTTTGCTCATTTCTCAGTCTCTGTAGGCCGTTTGTTCACGCTGTGAATGTGCTGCACTGCTGAATAATCGCTGGTTTGGAGCAATTATTCCATGATATGACAGAGATAGTGTCCAACATTATTTTCACTTTGCATGAGCTGATGGCCATTGATCTTTTTTTTTAAATGTATTCTTTTATTCTTTCTATCATATTTATATGCTAATAGCATCTTAAGAACATGAAAAGAAAACCAACTTTCTTGTGGTAGTAGTAAATAGAAATATGGTCTATTCTGCATGTTCAGCGATTACTGTATGTTCTAATATTTATTTATTTATTTAATTTCCCTTACAAAAAAAAAAACATGTGAAAATCACATGTTAAAATACATGTGAAATATGTGAAACACATGTGAAACACACATGAAACATGTGGTTTTGGAACATTTTCATGCTGTAAATGTCTGAAACCCATGTGATCACACATTTCACATCTGTTCACATGTGTACATGTATATATATATATATGTAACGGAGGCCAGCAAATAGTTGCTGTGCAGGTAAACCTCACTCCCCTGATCTCAAGAGACGCGCGCTAGAGGCTGCAGTCTTTAGCCTCCTTGTTAGTGCGTCCGCCTCCCATGCCGGAGACCCGGGTTCAAGACCCACTCGTAACGAGAACGAGGTGTGACGGTGAGGACCCGGGAGAGAGGGGTTACATATATATATATATATACACACACACATACATACATATATATTTATTTATTTATTTTTAACCAAATGGTACACAAAATTAAACTGGCCCTAAAACTGAGAATCTGTGAACCGTTACTTCCCTAGCTTTAAAAAAATGACAAAGACAAATGCTGGTTGATGATATATTTTAGATGTTGAATGTTGTTCAAACACCTCCAGAAATATTACGGCTCTTTGGTTTGGTTTAGCTTCAGTTCATGGTGAAAGTAAATGTGTGAAATATATTGGCAGCCATTTGAAACCGTGGCAAATAACATCTTGAAGGTTTTTTTTATGTATCCAGGGTGACACACGGGAATGTTTCTTTAAAGAAAACACTGATTATGTATAAGATATTATAAATATTTGTATATTTTTCTTTACATTTTGCCTGTTATGTCAAGAGGCCAAGTAGCCAGATGCATTGAATTTGAACATATTGTTTACCTTCCATTTAATTTTCATTTTTTTTATATATATCTTGTTCATTTAATAGCGGTGTTAGGGTTTGTGAGCGTTTGTGTCGCTTTTACTTTTTGCTTGCAAACTCTTTTTGGTTTGAGGTCCAGTTGTTGTGGCTTCAAGCTACTTCCACTGCAAAAAAAGTAATAGTATGACCTTTTTCAATAGCAGTGTAGAGGTATTTGAGCTGCAGTATTGATTGTAAAAAAATAATTACTTGCTGCCTCATTCACACCGAAGGAGACTACAATTAGCCTACTGCATGTTGCTTCCCCAATCCTTATTATTCACCCATTTATAGAAAAATCGTGTTGAATAATATTATAAACACGAGGGAAATGTGTAGATGCTTATAGTCTGTAGTTAAATGTTAAAACCTAGAAAGCATTAGACATATATCGCACTCCCAGCTGCTAAAACCAGGTGCAGTGATTTCCCTCAATAGTCTGCGTTCACACTACACGTATTCGGATTGGAAACCAGATCGGAGACGGTAGTGATGCGCTAGAAAAGACATTTTCAAGGAGGCAATGCATGCATGAAAATGTGTAGCCTATTAATTCAAGATGTGCTCATTGCTTTACTGTAAGATTCAAAGACACAATATTTGCATAATTATTTGCTTAACAAATAGTCCTTTGGTAACGAATGAGTGTTAATGTGCTAGCGCTGTCTAAACCTATCCTAGAGACGTGAAAAACACACGCATTTATTAAGAGTAGTGCGATCCATGTTACACTGATGGTGCTTTAGGACTCGATCTTTGTAATCTGTACAGACACACATGTAGTGCATTACTAACTAATGGAGAACTCACTGATCAAGAATATTCACGATTCACATACTGTACACTAGCATAAAACTTATTCCAATAGTGATTTTATTTGTGGAGGCAGACGTTTTATTTGTGTTTTGAAGACATTTTGGCGTGACAGAAAATCTGAACGCAGCTGCTGTGTATGTATACCTTAGCAAATACTGCCCTCTAGTGTGTCGTAGGACTTTATTTTTGTAGGAAGTTTTCCACGTGTAAACCAAGGCCTGTCGTTGCATCTTTTCTTTGTGAGCATGCAAGCGCATGCACTAAACTTAGAAAGGCTTCTCAATCTCTTTTGCTGTACTAAATACTTATATTTTAGGGAAGAAATACAATATCCTTGTCAGCCCAATCATATTTATATATTCAGAAGAAACTCTCATCCAGATTGCTGAATGTGTTTTTTTTCCATTTCAGCGGTCCACGAATGAAATCTTGTAAGGCTTTTAATTGTTTTCTGAACCAATAAAACTGACGAGACTGTATTCCAACAGGTCTGGACCGAGCAAAGAGATGTGTGAATGTGTAATAAATATATGAATGTGGAGATATTGATATGGGCTGCGTTTCCCAAAAGCATCATAAGCCTAAGTTGATCGTAGCTCCATTGGTTTCAATGCTTACGATGCTTTTGGGAAATGCGCCCCTGTTGGAAAAACCAACATATGCTGGTTAGGTATGTTTTGACGATGGGATGCTGGTTTTAGCTGGTCCTTTGCTGGTTTATGCTGGTCATGTGCTGGCAAAGGACCAGCTTAAACCAGCAAAGGACCAGCTTAAACCAGCAAAGGACCAGCTTAAACCAGCAAAGGACCAGCTTAAACCAGCAAAGGACCAGCTTAAACCAGCAAAGGACCAGCTTAAACCAGCAAAGGACCAGCTTAAACCAGCAAAGGACCAGCTTAAACCAGCAAAGGACCAGCTTAAACCAGCAAAGGACCAGCTTAAACCAGCAAAGGACCAGCTTAAACCAGCAAAGGACCAGCTTAAACCAGCAAAGGACCAGCTTAAACCAGCAAAGGACCAGCTTAAACCAGCAAAGGACCAGCTAAAACCAGCATCCCATCGTCAAAACATACCTAACCAGCATATGCTGTTTTTTTTTCAACAGGGGCAGCCCTGAACTAATGTGATTTATGATATTTATTATATCAATAAATAGAGAAGAAGATTCTCAAACATTGAAAGGTTTTTGATAAAAACTGATTATAAAGGTGGTATTAAAACTGATATAAGCAATGCAGCTGTTTGAAAACTTGCTTTTTTTTATTTCCCCCCCCCCCAAACTGGAATTCAGATTTACGTATCTGTAGTGGTTTCTATCCTAGCTTGTTACACCATAGTATTTATTAATTTTCCGAATTAACATCTGCTTTTCATAATAATTATTCTATTTTATATAAGTATTTTGTCTAATAAGAGGGCTGTACACACTGTTCAAGAGCCCCTGCTTTATCCTGTTCCTGCTTTCTGGCAGGGTATGGATTATTATGATTAATTTTAATGTTTTATTTTGTTTTGTGTCAAACAGCATTATTAGTATGCACTTTGCATTTATATGTGTCTGTTTAATTATTGTTTGTTCACTGTTAATGAGGCTGAAGTTGAATGTTTGGCCTGCATTTACACAAATCTGGAGTTACTGAATGCTGGATTTTCTCCATTTTTACACTTGCACACAAAACTCATCTGGACTTTAAAAGAGTGAAAACGCTGATTCTGTTCACCTTTTTCTGGCTTCATTTCTTAGCATTTGCAGATAGCCCTGTTTCTGTCTCCACCTTTGTCTTTCTTTCTTCATAAAACTGCACTTTTGTACTGAATTACAAGCTTCAAGCCTGCATGTCTCCATCACTCTGTTTAATGTCCCATTTCACTAGTGTTCATGTGAGTTATGTCAAATGTACATATACAGATACTAATGAGAATATAGAGAAACTGTACATGCAAAGTATGTAATAAAATAAATATAAGGGCAGATTGTCCATGGTG